ACTGGGAGGACAGAGGTAACGCTTTGTAGTGCTGACAGGAGCCCTCTTCCTTTTGAACATCCTCAAATCCTTTTTTGTGCAAGGCTTTCCAGAGTACCCTCTCCTCCCCTTCTTTACCTGAACTCCTCTGTACCCCGAGGCTGAGCTCACCCCTGTCTCTTACAGGATAATAGGGGCTGCACGTCGTTCTTTGTGGCGGAGGAAGCACAATGAGCATTCGCAGAGGTGGGAGGTGACACTTCTTACGGAGTTTGTGCTGTATCTTTTTTATCCTGCTTGGACACAGTTGATAGCAACCATTCTGAGGGATTTCCTCAGGGTTTTGTGGTTTTTTTCTGAAGATAGAATCCAAATAATTTGGTCCACGTTGAGGAACACCCTGAGCCTGCAGTGGGCATTTCACTGCCCTGCTCTGGTGAGATCTGAGTACTTGTACATCTAAACATTTAGATGGTCAAGGACTGAGCCTGAAGAGTGTCATCTGGGGAGGATGATGGAACTCTAGAGAAGGCCAGTGCCTGTGCCATACTCTGTGGATAGCAGTATTCATATACTTTCTCCCCAAAACTTTTGCTTTGAATCTAGCCCATAAAACCGTTATCGGTGATAAATCACGCGCTACTTTTATCTCACAATGTGTAGGAAGAAGTTGAAGGCAATGACTACTCTGCGGTGACTCTCCAGTTTTCTATGAGGGCTTTTTGGATGTGGCCATCTGATAACAGCACAGTGCTGAGAAAAGCAGAAGAGCCTTGCTTTTGTGCTGTAGCTCTTTTCAACTCGGTTCTTTTCAGTCTCTTCAGAATCTGTGAGTTATGGTCAGACTAGAAAGCAGAGATGAGTATCTCCTCTTGCGATAAAAGTAAACTTCTCCAACTGTGTTAAAGCTGAATTTTTGTGACCTGAGACACAGCCTGGATTATTTTACAGGTGAAAAGGCAATACCAGTTTAGGTCCCACAAGCAAAGCCTGGCAAAACTGAAACAGAAGGAATATTCTCAAATATTCTACCATAATTTCTGCCCTGTTTACCTCAATATGCAGTTTTGTAGTTGATTGATAGTCTGGTGCATAATTTTATTGTTCACTCATGGTTCTTGTCACCCTATATGATGTTATCCATATGTGATGTATCTATATTCATATGAATACTGTTGGACCTTAGGGTCACTTGTTAATAGTCTCTGGGGAGAATGGGTTTGTTGCAATTACTATTGCTCACAAACATTTTCCATGCATGGTTTGACTTGTGGAGAAACGGCTTAGTGTTGCATTTAAAAGAAGGCTGAGGGGTATACACACCTCCTTGTCAGGGCTTACGTATGACAGTGGTGCTGTATGTCTGTCCCAGTCCGTGTGGGCTCCTAGTGGTACCTGATTCATACCAATTGATGTTATTAATTAATGATTCAAAATATTGATGACAGCCGTTTGTATCAACTGGACCCACTGGAGCTTGCACATGTGAAAAGGTTTTTATCTCAGGCCTTCTTAAATGTGTCTGAACCTGCCTAAAACAGCTGGGGATCTGTACAACCAGCAGCTGGCTGGCTGTTCCTTCATCACTCACACAGCTGCTGGAAGAGAAACTGCAGGCTGAAATCCACGATGCTGCTGGGGCCCCACAACAGACACACCGCTGATGCAGAGTCCTGCTTGGGTGGGTGTCTTGCCAGAGGGAGATGGGTGCTGAACTGTGTGGAGGCAAACCTCTGGGAAAACAACAGGTAATGTGGGGTCCACCTGGAGTTTCTTGCTCTGTCAAAATGCATCACTTTAGTCCTTGGTTTCTACAGATTTATCCATATATGGCTGGCTGTTGGAAGCTACTGGAACAATACAGGAGGCTTCCCTCACGTGGCTGTGAAGACTGAGCATGAGACAACACACAACAACATAATCCTGGCTGGGCCTGGAAATTCACACTGTCTGTTCTACCGTCCTGGCCTTGTTGGGTCCACATGCCCTGAGGCAGTCTGTGGGGCACCCCAAGAGTGCCTGTGGCTACCCAGGGCTGATCACACTGCAAAGAGCAGGTCTCACAGAGCAGGCTGGGGGACTGTGAAGAGAAAATGCTGATGGGAAGGGGTGCAGGAAGCTTCCAGAGGAGACAGGAAAGCAAAGTAGAGAAAGGACAAAAAAAAGGGAAAGGACGTGGTTTACATATGGTAGCACCAGAGAAGGTCATGAGACTGTGAGCTTTAGGGTCAGTCACATCAAGACAAAGAAAACGGGTTGATGCAGGTGGGTGAGATAGATTTGCTCTAGTGGGAGAAAAGAAGACAGGGTAGAAGGAGGAATCAGTTTTGTTATCTGAATGTCACATATTCAGTGTGACACCAAAATTTTAGCCACAGATTTTTAGGATGTAGATGAAATAGGAGATGAATTATCTCCGATTCCCTGATTGTAATGATGCAAGCACTTCCTTTCAAATTGCATCTTTCCTTCTTATGTGCTGTATAACCTATTTCCAGAAAGAATATTTATTACACCAGTCTTTAGTAGTTAAGTGTTACTTTTTCTAGCCAGCTGCTTATGTTCTGTTTTCCTTTTAGCATAAAGATACAAGAACTAAAAATGAGACAATCCACACTGTCCTTTTTTTTTGCATCTTTTCCAGAAATGTTTAATAGGTGTTGCTAAAGGATGCCAAATGCTGGACTCATATCTGGTTCTGTCAGGGCATCTCTGTTTCTGTAAGATAGTTTCCAATGTCCATTACTGTATAATATGAGTGTCAGAGTGTCATCTAAGCATTTTCTTTGTAAAGATTCATGCAGTAGCTAAGCATGCATTTGGAGGTGCTCTGATCCATCATCAAACAAATGGGAAATCCCATTTGTTTCCACTCATATGTTTGTATGTTTAATACAACCTGAAACTGGTAAAAAGTGCATTAATGATTTACAGTTTGCAGATTTCCCAAGCAGTGGTTCTTATTTAATTGCTTTCATTATTTTCAAAGACTCAATTGCCTTCTAATAATTAGTGTACATACTTCCTCCAAATTTCCATCTGATAAGATCAGCAATATTTCATTAGTGTGGAAATTTCATCAAGTAATGTTAGAATGCTAAAAATCCCAGCTCCCTCCTTCCTCTTGTTCTTGGGTATCTCAGCTTACATCGCTTTCCAGTCTCTGATGAGTCATTGCGTTCACTTTGTACTGATAGTTTTCACATTTCATGCCTGAGCAGTGATTTTGATTTCCTCATTTTCTGATCAGAAAAAGCACTTTTTTTTTTTTTTCCCCCCTGTAGGTACCACTGGATTTTTGCCAGATCAGAAAAACCCTCTTTTCCAACTTGTGGTTGCACAGGATGCTGCGAAAATCACATGCAGGTGTCTCTGGTCACTTGTAAAGATCTTGATGCAGTCCAGGTCCCAAGGGGATGTTGCTTGATAATGCGGTTGAATATTCTACAAGATCTAAAACATAAGCAGCATAAAATGTTACAATAACTATGAGGATATAAAAGAACATTTCAAATGCCAGAGACTTCCAGCTATGCAAATTTGCATTTCCTTCTCCTCCTAGTCATGGCCATACAGTGGCACAGGGTATTGCTGGGTGTTGATAGATGTCTTAGGAGTTGTACGACCCAGTATTTCAAGTTCAGCAGAATATTTTTAGAAGCTAGGGTTCACAGACAGGCCCATGGTTTGCTCAGTTCTGCAAGCAAACGAAACAGCAGCTTTCACCTCCAGATAAAGGGCTCTGACACTGCCAGTTCCAGCTCTCCACCCAGCTCCTGAGCCAGCAGCTACCACTCTCACAGCAGAGGGAGGAGGAAGTTGTCCAGCACCTTCTCTGACTTTTTCCTCCTGCTCAGCTGTGGGCCTTGTTACCAGCAAAGGGAAGATGAGTGTGACCTCACACCCTCTCTTTCCTCTTCCGGATGGTGATCAGTTACACCCATATCTCTTCTCAGTGATTCCATCAGTGATTAGTTAGTCACAGCCCCTTTGGCCTGTGTTTCAGCCTCAGGAGGAGCGATGTGTTGGTGAAGGGGTAGTGTCTTTGCCCACCTGCTGCTGCTTGTTGTTTCAAAAGGAAAAAAAAAAACCCTAACAACCCACATCTCTCTATTTCTGGGTTTTCTTTTCTTACCATGGAGCTCAGCCCCCAGAGGTGGATAAAGGATAATTAGAACCTGCTGAGCCAGCGGACTTGGCACAAGGCCAAGTATAACCTTGGCGTTTTGAAAGGCTGTGTAAAAAAGTGGGAGGCATTGACCTCAGATAATGTTTTGCGATGATGAAAAGCTGAAAGTTGGAAGCACATCACTGAATTACTGTTTGGAGAGGTGCAGCACTTCTAAAGTTAAATCAAAGCGTTGTGTCTGCTGTAGCTGGAGCAGTTAGTATTTGCCAGATTAGCTTGAGGTGTTTTGATGTAGTGTGAAGATAAGGGTGGCACAGTGTGCTTGCACAGATGTCCTGGCTCAAACCAGGAGAGCAGATAAAAATGAGGCATAAGCACATCCAGCTCTTTTAACAGAAATACATCATCAGCACGGTTCTTATTTAACCTGCAAAATCTTTTGCTCTGTTTTACTAATAACCTCCCACAGATCACGCCGTGACAGGGCAGGATGTGAGTTATTTTAGACATGAAACCTCGTTGTACTTCAAACTGCCTCATCACTTGCCAGGTTCAACTTCACATCCAGTAACCGGGTAAAAGTTTAACAAGTACCTAACTGAATGAATTAACTTCGTGGGCTCTGCCCGCTGTGGCAGCAGAATTCTTTGTCAGCAGAATCTCTTTCCTCAGCCTATTCTTATCAGAAGACAGCCACGATTACGGAGCTAAATTGGTATGTGAAACCATATGGTGTTTTGGAGCTGCTTGGTTACTGTGGAGGATAAATAGCTGCTGACCCTAAAGAGGATCTTTTTAAGAAAAAAAAAAAAAAAGAAAAAAGCGTGTCCCTGTGCCTTATAAGGCATGGGCAGGCTTCCTCCAGTGCTGGAGAAGGGGCGGTAACACGTTCATGCTGCTGGGTGTTCTCCGGCAGCGGTCGCGGGCGGCCGGAGAAGTTGGGCTGGAACCGGCAGCGCCTCGTTCCGCCGCGCTGAGCAGCGAAACCCGGGCGAGGGAAGCGGCAGCAGGTGAAAGCTGAACCGAGCACACAACACGACACCACTTGATCATGGGAAAATCAGGTGAGTAAATGCCTTCGTGCAGTTGGCTGGCTGTTCTTACTATGTCTGGTTTTGTGCTCGGAAAGCATCGAGGAAGCCTTAGTGGGTTCCCTGCGGGAAAGCTGCTTTCATGTGTGCGTGGTACAGCCTGGGAGGAGCTTTCTCTCAGACACAGGGTTAGATTCAAAAAGAGGGAAAATGATCCCCCCGCCTCCCCAGCCTGCACAGTGCAGAAGGAGTTGTATTTTATACATGGCATTCATTTTGTGACTTGGAGTAGCTTTACTTTTCTGTTTGAAATAATTATAAGCCCTATAGCTTTAGCATTATTTAGCATCTAGCTGTCTGAGCAAACCTACCTGCCTTGCAGATATGCAGCAGGATGCTTTGAGGGGGTGAAGCTTTTTATCACCCTTCCTCTTGGGAGGATTTAGATTTAAGATTTGGTTACCGTTTAACTAAGGATAACTTTGTTCGGCTCCTAAGTCTCTCCCCAGCTGTGCAGATATTCGTGAAGCCTCTTGTTGCAGGCTGCATTGTTGGTCCTTTCCCCTGTGCTGCCGGCTCTCTGTGTGCCCGGCCCCAGCAGTCCTGGCTGGGGGACACTTCTCCAAAGCTGCCAAGGAGCTGGGGACTTTTAGAAGAGAGAGCTTGTGCCCGGGTACTTGTACATCCTTGTCCCTTTTGAGTCCTGAGGGAAAATCTGTGCTGATCTTCTGAAAAGTTAGTGAAACCAGTTGGTTTATTTTTGTTCTTGTGGTTAGGACATTATTTTTGTGACAAAACACAGCCTGGTGGCATTTTGTCTGTCTGTCCTGGTGCATAAACAGCACATATGGGACACGTTCAGCAAAACCTAGTACTTGATTCACTCAAAACCATCAGACTCTTCCAGATAAACTTGAAGAAGATCTTTGTGCAGCTAACATTTTAGTGGGCTTCAGAATGAGTGTGTTGTTTGGGTTTTTTTCCTTTTTTTTAAAAGGTCAGCATCCTAGATGAGATCAGAGCTGTCTGGAAATGTAACTGCAAAGGGCTTCCTGGTATGGCACTCAGTCCAGGCAAGGCACCAGATAGCTGTCAGTGGCTGCTTTTGGCCCTGTGTCCTGGGAGCTGCATGGGCTTTCAAGTGGACTGGGATTTAGTAAATAATCTAACAACAGTGTAAATAACTTCAGTCACTCACAAGCATCATTTTCAGCACTTCCTCACTAACAGGCAAAGTACAAACACCAGGTAAGTCTAGTTGTCTGTACATTAGATTAGGAAAGCTAACTGGGTAAAAGCGGTAGAGATATTCCAGTGTACACCTCCCAGCCCCAAATTTATTAAAATCTCATCTTGTTTTAAGGTAGGCACAGTCTCTGTTTCAAATTGCTAATACAGTCATAAGGCAATTACTGTCTTTGTTGTTTCCTGCACATTTATCACTGTACTAAGTTGATTGTTCCGAGCTTAGGAGGAACAACAGACCAGAAACTGCTTTTACCAAGGCTTGGGTATTGTTTGTATCCTTAAGTAGTTGCACAAATAGAACCTGAAATATAAGCAGACGTTGAAAATATTTTGTCACTTTTGTCATGTTTTTCAAAACAATGGTAAACTGGACGGTCTAGGTTACCATCTTTGAGCTGGGTGTGCAGTATTTTTAGATGAATCATAAAACTGAGATCCTGTCCTAACAATTGGTTTATTGACTAAAGGCCATCTGCCCTTTGCAGTGAACTCCAGTCTTTAAATTTCTGACAGAGATCATTCAGTGTGGTTTGCCTCTGAATGGGCGAGAGCAGCTACCTTAGAGAGTGTCCTCTGTGCTTTGTGGAAAACACCTCATGTTCCTTCTGTAGAACTCTGTAGAGGGCAAGATGTGGGCAGGTTTCTCTATAGTGGGATGTGTGGAAGTGGAACAGGTTGGGCTCTGTCTGACCTCCGGGCAGAGGGCTTGCATGCCTCCTTAGAAAGGCTAAGGTGGAGTTTACCTGCAGGTATACGTTTAAAGGGGCTCTAATGAATGTATGGCGAGGCCACTGTTTTATAATAAATGTTTTCACTTCTTTAACTGTTTTTGGTGAATCTCCCTTGAGGCCCCAGCACCCCCATGCAAGGCAGTCCCGCTGCTGAAAATCTCAGTTCCTTGGCCAGCGCTCCCTAACAGTGCGTTGTTGTTACAAGCTGTAGGATTGTACTTGCAGCAGTGTTCTTTGCAGCTGTCAGATTTAGGGCTGGTTGTGCTTCCCTGAGTGTCAGAAGACATCAGTGCCTCTGACTCAGCTTTCCCCTTGGGAAGCTGCAGGCTGCTAAAACCGAATTCGCGCTGGAATTCCCTCGCCACGTTTAGAAAGCACCTTCCACGGCCGTAACACCTGAAATACTTACACCAAACACACGGACCCCATCTGCCCTCCCCGGGGTCTTCTCTTTCTGGACGGCGTTCGGGTGAGGGGCTGGTGGAGGGTCCCACCCACCCACCCCCGCAGGTCCTGCGGAGCTGGGACAGAAAAGCTCGGGGTGAGTGTTTTCTGCAGGAAATGAGGCAGGCTGAGCTGGCTGGAACACCGGGCGGTTCTGCTGCTGGCTGGGATTTCCCAACCGGCTGGGATGGTGGCAGAAAACAACTGCTGAAAAGTCTCATTTCTGCCGCTTTCCCCTTTGGCCCTGCCCGGTGGAGGAGGGGAGCTTGTCCCGTTCGCTCCCCAAAAACCAAGGTGGAGGGAACAGCAGGGGAGTTTCTTCTGGCTTGTGGGTGCAGGCCTATCAGACAAAGACAAGGACAGGCTCGGTAAATAATCTTCTTTCACGGTTTGTTTTTTTCTTTTGTTTTCTTTCTCCCTTCAGCAAATGTGGGTGCGAGTTACCCACTGTGCTGGTTGGTGAGTCAGTGCAAAAATAAGGGGTTTGACAAAAAAGAGACAGGAACCAAAACTCGGTGCAGTTTTCCGTGCTGGTTTTAATCTTCCTCTGAAGCATGTGCTGGTGTTTAACTCTTAAGGTGCACCTTCGGAGCACCGTATAAAGGGTTTTCTGCCGAGCCAGCTCCATCTGCGGCTGTCCTGAAGTGCCAGCTTGTGCTGTAGCATCTCAGTAGGAGACAGACAAAGCAGGTCGTAACTGAAGTACAGGAGTGCTAGAGAAGGGACGTGTTTGCCTTCTGAGAAACATGATACTTGCAAGCTGCCAAAATGACCAGGCTTTTCATGCTGGCTGGTTCTACGGGACTGGTGGGGATTAGTCTAAACTGGTAGCAACTGAGCATTCACATTTGGTGACAGCAGGACTTTTGCAGAGCTTGTCAATGCAAGTTACTGGTTCTCTTTGAACCAGGACGGAACTGGAGGTGTGGTAGGAAAAGGGCCTTTCAAAGATTAATGTGGTTCAATGAAAAAACAGCACATCACTTCAGTTTTTGTGTGTAGAAGACGCTGATTACTTGGTTCAACTTCAGTAAATGGCAAATGGAGGAAAAATCTGCCAGGGAGGCACCAGGCTTTCACAAACAGTATTCTGAGCCCAATTTTTACTTCTCAGTTGAGCCATCAGTGGGGAAGAGGACGAGGATGCAGCCCATGCTGTGCAACAAGGGTTGCTCCTGTTGGATGTTAGATAAGTAGCCTTAGCTCCTCATGCTCAGGGCAGATAAATACCAAAACAAGTATCAGGATCCCACAAAGAATAAGATAGAATGTGATGATCTGTAGTAACCAAGGTTTTCCATGCTGTAGAGTTGCATGTGAAAGAGCATCAGCCCTCCTTTCTGAACCTTTCAAGAAATCTTGCAAAAATAAAAATTAGGCATGAAAAAAGCTTTTATTACTGGAAACATTGAAACTCTTCTTTTTCTATCAGTACAGTTGGTAGTGACTGTCTTGCCTGAATTTGAATTTGCTGCTTTTGTGAAGGAGGAAAAACTATGAGAAAATGAGTCTCTTGATTTTAACTGCTTTGTTATTTACTGCATATCTCAAAAGACCAGAAGGCTATGTCAGATCACTATTTTGGTAGAGGCCATGCTGTTCTCCAAAAAAATTAGCTGGAGCTTATCTATGTTGTGTTTTTACAAGCAGATGTAAGCAAGTTCTGCCCAGTCTTTTGAAGGTCTGAGCAGCAGCTCTGCCAGAGCTGGGCTGGGTGGCCCTGCAGAGGGTGGCAAGGTGGGGCCAGGTAGGTGGGTGGCCAACACCTCTGGGTCAGAACTGGCTTCTACACAAGCAGGTACAACTACAGTCGTAGTCCGGGGTGTTGTGGAGGAAGAAAATATGGGCCTGTTAAGGCCACCACAAACATTTAGTATCACTTAAAGCTGAGTGAACTGAGTTACCAGTTAGTCTCAGCTTTGAACAGACATCACGTGGGCTTTGCCTGGTGTCAGCTTTAAGCATGACCATTGCAGAGCTGCATGAAATGGTAACTGTGCTTAGGAAGCTTTGCAACTCCACCATTGTAGTGGGAGCCATCTTCTGTATTTACACTGAGGGCTCTCCCCGCGTATGTGCGTGCACATCACAAAGCTGAAGGGAGTTGCATGTGCTGCTGAAGTCTCCATACTCTGTTGTAAATGTAAATACAAGGGCAAGGGAACTCTTTTCTATGAGACAGCTTTGATGGTATTTTGTGGTGGGCAGATGTGAAGATGTTATTGAATATGTTCTTAATTTATACCCTATGTGTTTGTCACACTTGTAAATTGTGTGGGCCATTGGCATGTCTTGGGCACTTAATCAGTGATCCTCAAAAAGGGATTTGGGGTGAACTGTGGTAGGGTATAACCTGTTCTGGCATTTTTACCTTATGAAGACCTATTACTAAAACAGATCTGTCAGCTTAGAATCTCAGAATACTTGACATGGGAAGGGACCTCTGAAAGTCAGCTCAACCCTGTTGCTCTGTCAATGGCATCTAGAGCTGGTTGCCCAGGGTGTAGGCATGTATGTACATACCTTGCCTACCTACAGGCTCTTCTTTTCTTTGGA